TTACACTCAAAAATATGCAAATCTCTCCCTTCCTCGCAGGTATTTCCTCTATGTAGACAGTAAAATTAGCTTTGGCTGCTGATAAGGGAAAATTTGCAATTTGCTAATACTCAGCATGAACTCTTTCAAGGATACAGCATGGAATGTGCTACTAGTTCAGTTATCTTCCACAGCACAAACCCAGGCTCAGGTTTCATATTAATCATAGGAACATATGGTAGAGATGTGTCCAGATTTAATGTGCTTGTTGCTGGTCATCCCATGGCAGTTGCTAAGGAGAGAGACAGCAGGATGCATGGACATGCATATACATCACTCCTGCCCTTTAGTTTCACTTAGAAAGGTTGAGGCTACATGAAAAATGATCAACTTTCTGTTCAAAACCTTAACTGAGGCTACAGCTACGGGAAACATATTTCCAAGGTAAGAATTGATTGTTTATGTAATGCACAGGTCTGGGAAAGAGGCTTTTAAAAGCCTTTAATTCTGAGGCTAAATGGTAAGAAGTCAAGAAGCTTCTGCACTTGCTTCAGTCCAGTTTTCATGGGATTGGAGCAGAGACTGCTAAAAATCACTTGAGGGGAAGAAAGTAAAATTTAGCACGGGTGCATTTACTCTGTGTATCAGCAAGTGAATAAACAACCAAACGAACCATGGCAAATACCAAAATGTTGGGACTGGCTTTGTGTTTTTTTGTGTAGTATTAGCAAACCTACTCCCTCCTCTGCTTTAAGCTTGTGCACTCATCCTTGCAGTATGGACACAAGCCACAATCATTCAGAAGTTACTTCTGCCCTGCTTGTCCATTATCTATTCCTTGTTGTGCAGATAGTTTAGATGATATGTGACTATTTGGCATAACGTGCAGCAGTCTCCTTGGTTAGGGTTCTGAGCATCATTAGAAGTAGAGAACAAACCAGTCTGAGAGGTTTATTAAGAAAATGAACATGCTTTACATAAAGAAAGACTTTTGATGGCACCTGCTTCAGCTCACCCCCTGTCAATTTAGCTTATAAAACAGATGACTCACTCAACTCAATAGAGATATCTGTTTTTCTCTAGTTTTCACAAATTCTCTTCTACCAAGTATTTTAAAGTCTGAAATTGAGTTCTAACTGCTGAGTACTATTTGCAGTGGAAGAGAGTGGGACCAGAGCTGTTTGCATCTAATATTTCCATCTAGATTTGAAAAAAACCCCTGTGACCACTGGCAGCATTTTCAAGTATTTGTTTAAACAGCAGCACTCTGAAATCATTTTTCATCCAAGAAAGAATAAAAATGAAACAAATACTGGTTAGTCTGTGCATTAACGTTTCCTCATGGCTCTAGTATCCAGTTCTCAGAGTATACACTGCAGTTCAGTGCTGCTCATCTTCTGTGTTGTCCTTACAAAATCAACTGAGTAACTTTGTTCACGCAGTTTCTGAGGTAGGTAGTGATATTTTCCCTTAGGGGCTAGTGGCACAGCATCTTTCTTGACCCAAATCAAATTTTGGTGGTGAGATTAAAAATGTCCCTCTGATTTTAGAGTTGCATGCTGTGGGTTGCATGGCAGTGGCCAAGATTGTCTAAGCTAGGTTACCATTTCCATGCAATAATCTTACCACTCTGAGACATTGAATAACCTAGTGTACTTTTATTAAGTAAATGGAAGCAGAGGTTAATGAACATTTATTGGACCAACTTAACACCTTGAAATCACAGGCATCAGTCAGACTGAGAGGCAGCATACTAATATGATCAAGTTTCCTTTACAAATCTATGAGCCCCTGTACAAAAATAAAGTATAAAAGGGGCAAACAGAAACATTTGTTTCTTCCCAATCCTGCTGCTTCTGAGGTCACATTCAGCATCAATTTAGAGAAGTCCAAGCAGTGCCCTAAATTATGCAGTGATATTTACAGTACTAGGAGGACCCTTCTCCAGTTGGAGATTGAAGAAAAATAAAAAACTCTTAACATTAGCTCTGCATGAGTCTTCCCTATGCAAACAAAGCTTCCAGCTGAATTTATGGCAGCCTTTTGCCCTCTAGGTACCACACAAACAACAGAGACACTTCAGAAGGGTTTGGGCAGGGCAGGAGGATTGGGCAGACCAAGGAGTCCTGGGTTTGCTCTGTGCTTCCTGGGACTGTGCTGAAACCTGCTCACGTTGCTCACTGGATTGCATGGCCCAGATAAACTTAAAGCCTAGGGGGGTTCCAAGTGAATCTTTTGCTACCGAACGTTCCTACAAGGAAAACAGTCTGTGGGAAAGAGGAGGCAGCACAGGACACTAACTGATGTGCTTTACAGTTTCTGTCTCTTGATAAAAGGTTATACAGTGAGAATAAAAGAAACAAAATTCTCCAAGTTAGACTTTCTACTGTGTAATATTAACTGAACAGTAGTTCCACTTAAGAGAAGAAAAGTGTATTAGTTACATTAAAGAACTACTTATTGTCATCTACATAAGGCAGAAGTACCCTCAAGGTCCTTATGAGTTTTCTTTCTTTACAAGCTGGATACACAGAAACTCCAAGAAATTCACATTAACAGTCAAAAGTGTGTAGTCAAAACATTTAGGATGGACTATACCCGAATTGTCAGAATTACTTTACCTGTTGAATGTCACAAACATTTGAGACGAAGAATGTGTCACTGAAGTCAGATACCAATGCTCACCAGAGAAGTTTGGATTTCTAACCTCAGAAACACTCCGCTGCTTGATTTTCAGTAGGTCTTGCCATCTTTGTGCTTTACTGGGAAAAGAGGTAGTTCTGAGAGTGAATGAACCTGTCGCTTTGATGGGCTCAGCTTGTGTGTAATACTACCATGGCAACAGCTGATCTACAGGAACACCAGCTAAGGTTCATCCAGGACAAAAATGACACAGCACAACTACTTGAAAAATTACCTCTTACTCACTAAATAGTTCACAGTTTGCACGATCCCCTTTTCAGGGGCTAAATTCAGAACAGATGAGCACCTACTATTACTCTGTTAAGTTCCCTCTTATGTGAGGCCCACGCTGATAGTTTCTCATCAGTTAGTTACCACAAAACTACAAACTCAGGGGACTTGGTTACAGTTCTTGTTTTGGGACAGTCACAGAACTGTGGCTCCAGCTGTAGCATAAGGGGGTT